ACCCCTCCCCCTTATACTACCCCTGACACTTTATTGCCCCCCTAACACACCCCACTCCCCCGTCCCGATGCCTCTCTCTCTCTGCCAACTTGTATGCGCTCTTACTTTGGACGGGCACGTTAAGGAGATCGGAGAGGTCCGGGTAGGCTCTATCCTCCTGTAGCAGCCGGTCTATGATCCTCCCTGCCCCCTCTAGAGTCTCCTGCATGGCGGCGGCAGCTGTCGGAGCGCCAGGGACTCCGCTGGGCATAGTGCTGGGCGGCGGAGCCGGATGGTCTCTGTCGATTTCAAAACAGCACGCGACCCGCGCAAAGCATACACAAGGGAAGAGGGTCGCTGTCTGATGACGTCACCCTACTGCATCCGGCATGAGGGAAAGGGCGGGCAAATGTAAACCTATTGGCAGAAACTCTTCTCAAGATTCCCCACTGTCGCCCTCAGATGACGTAACGTTCCCAACGTCACAGACCGGGGCAAAAATCGGTCATATTGGGTAAGGGCAAAACATTAACACCTTGCTAAAGTTTGATTTAAACGTGATAATGTAATAGCTTTAGATCAGGATTAGCCGAAGTATGTAAAAAGGTTTGTTTTCATAGAATTTTAAAGGGCATGAATCGGGGAAAAAAAAGCGGCATTTGGGGGATTGTCCCTTGTCAGTACCCGTAGTTTGAGCAGGAAGTGAGTAAAGGGGCGGGGAAGTGGGAGTGGACTTGTGAGTGTGGAGCTGGTGTACAGCAACAGGTATGTGCTGCTCATTATTTACTGAATGACATGGCTATGGTATAGGTGAGCGACCATGACAGCCAATTAGGATTCAGCAGCTGTCACTTTACTCATCTTCCTCCATCTCCTGAGCATCTCTACAGCTCTAGCAGGAATCCCAGGGATGAGGATAACAGCAACTAATGGGAATGTTTTATTGTTGCTTGCTGTAAATACAATCAACGCCAGTTTAATTCAGACCTTAAAACCCCATGTTTGTCTGGACTCTACAGTAAACAACTTAGAACAACCCCCTTCCCCCATCAATTACAGCAAGCGGCGTTGTAATTATGCAGAAAAATACAATGGGGAGGCTACAAGACCAGTGAGGGGACAGAGGGAGGGGGATCGTAAAAAAAAAAAGATAACTGTAGACTTCTTCATAAAAGAAAAAAATTTGCAATTGTTATTTTTTTGCATTGGAGCCAGTAAAGCATTGCAGCCGTGATCAATGGAGGGTGAGTGCAATGTTCTGTCTCCTGCAGATTCTCCCTCCAGTCCATGGCCGTGCCTCAGTACAGATGTTCAGCAACATGGATGGGAAGAAGAATGAATGGACTACAACTGCGCTGATGTCACCGCACTTGTATTCCATTGAGAACTTACCAGTCCCACTGCTGCTGTGGCTGTTGAGACCTGTCATTTCCCTTCAAAACTCCATAAGCCCATGACACTCCTGACCCTCTAGTCCAGGGGTAGGCAACCTTGGCTCTCCAGCTGTGCTGAAACTACAAATCCCATGGTGCTTCTGCCTCTGGGAGACATGCCTGTGGCTTGCAATGCCTTTTGGGATTTGTAGTTTCAGCACAGCTGGAGAGCCGAGGTTGCCTACCCCTGCTCTAGTCCATGGTAAGATGTTGGTGCGGCGGTGACCCACGAATGGCACGGTGACAGAACACATCATTTCATGGTTTTCATCTAACATGGTACTTTTATGGTTGGTTTTTAAATAACGTGGTCTTGCCTTGTGTTTAGGTTCATTATTTTTCGGTTTCACATTATTCTATTTATGTTCAGAGAATATTTTGTTTTAATTCACTTTAGATTTGTCCATTTTACTCCTAAAACAGTTCTCTCTTTGATGTTTTGTTTTGATAAAGATGTGAAGACAGGTCACCAGCACTCCAAAATGCAAAGAAGTCCTAGTGGTAGTTGGTCACTGTCGCCCAGAGGAAGGGATCCTGCGTGACCATAAAAAGTTGGCTATTTTGACCTATGTTATGTTATTTGCAATAAACAATATTTTCTTTGCATTTTGGAGTGTTGGTGACCTATCTTCAAATCTCTGAGGTTCTGCACAGTGCCATCCATGGCGGTCACTACGACCAACTATCTTATCTACACTGGTCACAATGCTGAGTGCTGTGCTGCAGGAACTTTCAACAATCTATTGTTCTGTAGTGGTAAATGCTTCTGATCACTGGAAGACATCTTGGATAAGGACTTCTTTTTTTCACCTGTATTTTTACCTTTTTGGAGTCAAATTTGAGCAAAAAAACACAATATGGGCTTTATTTATAAAAGTTCTGCCTGGCAATGCCATCCGCACACCACCAGCGCCTCTAGATGGTACCAGTAAGTATAGGAATTTCCTCTGGTCTCCCTGCAGCTGATCTTTTCCTCATTACTGACTTACCGTGCCTTGTTTTGCATTGTGTCTCTGTTTGGAGGCGGCCATCTTGGTAGAGGCAGCACTTTGCTTCCTCATGTCAGAGCCTCCAGCAAGGAGAACAGTGAGCAGCACAGTAGTGAATCACCAATCTCACTCTCAGGGAACTGCTTAGGCACACTTAACACATCTAGATGTTCCCTATAACATCGCAAATCTTCCCATTTTCAATTTAGTTTGACTATAACCGAATACATACTTCAATTATATCTGCCATGTTTTGTACTATACAACAGCAGCATAGAACCTTCAAACTAAAGCAACATGGGACGGTAATATGTCATTCAGCCTGATGTTACACATTACTTATTGTGTTACTTACTCTTATTTTTTCATAGTTATCATCATGGACAATCCTGAAGACTGCAATGTCGCTGCCACTATGGGCTTCTCTGGGTTTGGTTAGTGGTGTAATTTGCTAATATGTCTTAATATTAACATACTTATTTATATTCATATGTATGTGATGCATTCAGTGTTCATCAGGGATGAAACAACTAATCGATTTAATCAATAAGAATCATCAACAATTCTCATTAATGATTAGTTGATCTGGTTACCCTGCTTCTCAGGCTTTATTTCCCCTTGGAGGGGAGACAGACGCTTGCAGCTGGTGCTTAGCAGTGAGGAGAGCTCCCCCAAACCTACTAACCTCCCCCCTCGCCTTGGCTCTGCTCCCTACGCTCTGCTGCTCTCTTTCCTCGCTGGGAGCCTCCTGTTCTTCCCCGTCTGTCTCGGCAGAGGCAGCGGGGGACACAGACCACTGCAGCCGGCGCCCAGTGGAGAGACTGGCTGTCTGGGTGGTGCAGGGAGAGCTCCTGTGACAGGTGGGAGGGGGCGAAGCGGCTATAGATGGATACTGCAGAATCTGTAAATATGTCAAATTTTTACTGACCCTTCCCTGTGCAAAACAAACACTGATTGATCAGTACTGATCACTAAGCGTTTGTAAACAACTGAGGACATAGTGATTATTGCGTTATGAATGAACAGGAAGTGCTCTACTGCGTTATGAATGAACAGGAAGTGCTCTACATCACGTCCTGTTCATTTATGAATGGGGACATAGTAAATATTTATTATCTGCTCACGTTATTAATGAACAGGAAGCAGCTCAGTACAGAGGCTTCCTGTCCATTCATAACTGGGTTGATAGTAAGTGAATGAACAGGAAGCCTCTGTACTAAGTGTCTCCTGTTCATTGAGAGCTTCGGCTGCAGAAAAAGATATTGAGGACGCAGTTATTACAAAAGGGAATTATCAGGGGTCTGTTTATTATAATAATCATTAAAAATAGTTAAAAAATAAGTAAAGCCACCGCCCCCTGCCCCTCCCAGAGTTCTAAAAAATAAATAAACTAAAAGAGATGGGGGAAAAACAGTAATTTTCGGTTTCGGCCTGACAAATTCTGCTGCTGGAGGTATTCTGCTGCATTCATTTCAATGGCACCCCAAACGCGCCTCTCGCCTTCAATGTGATCATACGCATCGGAACGTGCGGTACCACAATGCCGTGCATTTCAGTGCAGTGCTATTGCAAAAAAGTGCATGCATTTTACTTCTGAAGTAAACTTTGTTTGTGACACGGCATTTGTATATTTTACTTTAAATGAAGGATGGTATTTATTTAATTTGTTATCCGATTAATCAAAAAAATAATCGCCCAACTAATTGATTTTGAAAATTAATCATTAGTTGCCGCCCTAGTGTTCATGGTGTCTTGTCCAAAGCCAAAACTATTTTTTTTGATGTATTGGTAAGGGGTTAGAACCGCTGTCAGGTTTTTATTGTGGCCTGTCTCCCTGCTAGGGATATTTATCCTCTCCATGTCTCACTTTGGCTTTAGATATACTTTAAATTGTATGCAAACCTAAAGCTGGCCATACACCTTACAACCATCGCACGACTTTCGTTGTGCGATGGTTGTAAGGCAGTTAAAATCTCATACGATCTGCCCATCTTGGAGAGGCAGATCGTACTTGCAAGCCTGACCCGCTGAGGGGAGGGCTTCCGATGATTCCAATGCTGAGCGGGCAATGTGCGCTTGCGCACACCGGCCCGTTCGGCATTTGTCTTCCGAGCACGCCACTAAAGACAAGGTTTTCAAGTGTTCTCGGAAGACAAAAGATGTGCGACCGTACAGTAGAAACGGTCGCACGCCTTTCATACACCTTTCTCTACTAGTGTGACATTCACTTGTTCTACTGTACGTATAGGTAATCAGCACTGTAACCCTAGGACAGGAAGAGTGTGTTGCATCTACAGAACACCTCTACCTCCATAACAAGGGAGAGTTGTTTTGTTGTCCACAGATGTGAATTGAGCAGGGTGTTAGCACTGCTGGAGATAACATTGCAGCGTGCATAGGACAGCACTGGATTCCTAGTGGGATCAATGGGTTTTTTTTTTTTTTTAACTTATTGAACAGATATAAAACAACTTTCAATTGTACATTTAATGGACTAAAAGGAAGCAATTACAGTAATTTCATTGTTGGGGTTTACATACACTGAAAGGGTTATTCATCATCAATAATCCTTGTACATTGTATACATAGTATTGTACCATCTGTTGCAGCGTGAGGGTTGTAGTTCCAACCATATGTTGTAGGACTCAGACATGACCTCTGATGTTTTCAAATATAAAAGCAGAGGTGAATTATTAGTTGAATGCACAGATTTCAGTTTAACATTAAATAGACATAGGAATCGAAATATGCAGAAAATCAGTTCACTGACTGTTGTGACTTCCACTGCAGAATACACTTCCTTTGTATTGATTGCCATAAGATGTATTGTATTGAAGATAAAGCTTATTACCTTGTCACTCTGATGAAGTGGGGTATGTTGCTTTAGTATTTTGTTAGATCGCCTTTGGAGTCTAAACACTCTGGGGGTGGGGGGACATTTAAAAAGCCTTTCCACCCAAAGTAGATGTTTCATTATACAGTTGTAGCTCTCACCCCCGAAGGAGCCGCTGAATGCCCGGTTCATCTCTAGTCTGTCTAGAATATGATCTTCAGCTGCCCACCCATAAGCATTAACCGCCCTTCTTCTAGTGCCCATAAACTGACTTCCACTCCAGTAGTATAATGCAGATTAACTTTTATTGAACACCTTCACTACGGAGAGAGGGTAGAGGGATTCTAAGCTTCCAGGGAGTAACAGACATAATCTCCAGACTCACCAGACCTGGTTGGCACATCAGTGTAGATCCACTTGGGAGGCAGCGGATAGCAACTGAACTAGCAGATGAGCAAGGATGAATATAGATCCTCAACAGGGAAGACACCGACCATACTCCTGAAGCACTTTGAGTTCCAGGGTACTTCATGAGCCATCTTTGGTCCTGGGTCTCTTCCTCTTTAGCAACACAGACCTCTTCCTCTTTAGCAACACAGACCTCCTCCATGTTGGAGACCTCAGGGAAACATTTTCCTCACACCAGCCTATGCCCACCCCCAGGCCTCAGGTCTAGCCCGGCGGGCAGGCTGAACAGCACCCGGCCCTAATCCATGGCTGGTCCCGGTTAGTCTGAGCACATGGGAGATCCCACCAGTATATGTACCATATCCCAGCATGCACCACTGGTTGAAGGAAACCCAGCGATTGGCTGCTACACTGTACATACACTATAGTATCTCTCATTGGCTGTCCCACAATATGACACTCTCCGTCCAGGGGGTACAGGCAATGCCAGACACCTGGAATTAACCAGATAAATGCCACTATAATTCCAGCCAGGCTGACTACAGCCCTGGCTATCACTAAATGTCCAGTAGCCACATCACAGAAGGTGATGATGGCTACACAGTAAATGGAGAAAGGAGGCCTACAGCAGCCCCTGGGTTCTGTCCTGGGTATTCCATTAGCAATATCTTACTGGCCAATCTTCATGGGAGTTGTGGGTGTTTTTACCCACCTTTGCTTGTTGCAGCTCCTCCTGTTGCTTCTCAATAATATGAAAAATAAAAAAAATGAAATGGGAAGAGTGGGAAGCCCTCATATTGGCACTAGCAAGCGTGTAGATGTGGGAACTCAAGTGCATAGATTTTACCAAACAAAACCCCATCAGTTTTGGATGCAATCACCCTTTTAGGCATATTTCAATTTGATCAAGGCACCAGCAGGTAGGTGCTTCTGGAATGAGGCTGCAGTGCAGGCACTATGTTCAAACAGAGGCATTGATTGACTGTTCAGGCAGGGGAAGCCAATCAATTCCTTATTCAGGGCATAAGCACTGTCCTGTGGGCAGCTTGGTCCCAGAAGCCCCTCCTTGCCAGTACTTGGGGCAAGGCGAATGGAACAAGGTGAGTATTACATCAGTCTTGGTATTCTTTTTTTTTTTACAGAATCGCAAGGATAGGGGCTAGACAGCAAATGTTTGTACATATTGGCTACAATCACTTTATTTGATAAAACAATGGACATAGTGAGTATAAGTACTGGGGGAATGTTCTTTGTTTCTATCTATATAGACATTTTTTGAAGCTTTTGCTTTCTCTGCTTAGGAAAGAAAGCCCGGACATTTGACTTGGAAGCCATGTTTGAACAAACCCGTAGAACTGCTGTGGAGAGAAGCAAAAACACATTTGGTGAGTTCTAGCTTGTCTTATTTATCTTTATTATCACTAGTTATTTGTGTTTGGGGTCTGCAGTCATTAACGAAAATCGGATGGTAACCCAAACAAAATTGAACAAACTGTGTACTGAGCATATGTCAAGGAATAATTCCAACCAACATTGGGTCAATATTGCAATCAGGCATAGACATTGCTGCCTGCCATTGGCTACTGAGAAGGGATCAGCTTTTAGTGAAGTCCTCTATTAGTCTAAATTCCTCTATTTATTGCAATAGAGAAGCAAGTGGGTGGGGCCATGACCATTTAAATTGTGAATTGCCATGGTTGACGCAACATCATGGGACTTTTGATTGAGGTTTTCTTCATGATGAAAATGTAGCAACTTTGTGGCATTTTAACCACCTGCTGTCCGGCAGTTGTAATTAAACGGCTGGACAGCAGCTTCTTGGATGCGGGTGGGCATTTTTAAACGTCCCTCCCTGCTTGTGCCCGCCGCCAGGCGGGAAATCAACTTGGAATGGCTGTGTACATACATACCATGTTTACATACCAGCGCTCGGGCGTCTGTAGAGACGCCCGATTGCTTGTAATATATGTTCGCAGGCACACGCAATTTTAAAGCTTGACATATTTGGTGTCTATTATTTACCCGACATGACACCGTCTTTAATATTTTACCAAAAATTTGCGTAATAGTAAATGTTTTATAACATAATGTAGGGAGAACAGGTTTTTTTTCAAAATGTTCGGTACTTTTTTCATTATATAGCAAAAATAAAACCCCCCAGTGGTGATTAAATACCACCAAAAGAAAGCTCTATCTGTCCCCAAAAATGGTACGAAATGAATTTAAGTACAGCGTTGTATGACGGAATAAATGTCAGTCAAAGTACCGCAGCGCTGAATACTGAAAAATGGCCTGGATGTGAAGGGGGTTTAACACCCTGGTCTTCAAGTGGTTAAAGTAGAACCGTTATTTTAGTAATAAACTGAATTCCATGATTTGAGTGTTGAAGAGGTAGATCATGTTTTTGGATCAGTCTAACCAAAGCTAATATTTTAGTTGTACGTTAGGTGGAGCCTGGTGGGCTGAGTCAGTAAGCTTGTGTATAGGATGCTCCAGTGGTGACATCTTTTCCGTAATTAGGAAGTCAAGAGAGTCTGTATGTCCTCGCCAATCTTTGTGTGTTCAGCTTCTCCTGCTGCATTCGAGAACATTAAAAAACAAAAACCACAAAGAAAGAAGGGCCACTTCATAATGGCCACAGCCCATGTGTAGACCCTGGAACTACACCACAGATACCTACTCAGTTGAGTCCTCGAGATATTCTTGATCTCCTAATGCTCTGCCATTTACCAGTTCCCTGTAGACGCCGGGCACATGATATCTTTATTTAATGTGTGTTTATATTAGGGTTGTGTTAAAGTTTTATGTTATCAACTGGTTGCGCTGATCTGAATAATTGTTTTCTATTTTTGCTTGTTTGAAGGTATTCTTATTTACACTGGACTTTGACCTTGATCTGTTAAGTTGAGATTCTTTCTGACTTAATGTATATTTTGCAGTAATAGGATGTAAACCTTATCTGACATTAGTTTTCTAAAGCACTGTTTATTGCCGTTTTTAAACAATAAAATACTGTTTTCACAATTTTTTTAATTCTTTGTTGCATCTCAGTGATGAATATATTCTGCACTGCAGCGTCTTTGCAGCCATTTCCCGACCTCATGCTCTCCTGTGAAGGCATCATTGCTTTTGTCAGGGTGGGTTTCCTGATGGTGACAGCAGTGGACCAAGCCTGCATAATGCATGTTAAATGGCCACTTGAAGCCCATGTGACAGGGTGACAACACAGGAGCACAACTGGGAGACAAGGACAGAGTGTTAGAGTGTTGTTGCCTTAGAACAGGAAGTGCCTGAACAAGGACCTTCGTGGCAGGATTACCAGGGATTATTTTAGTGAGAACTGCATATTAAAAATATTGAAAATGACTTTTGAAATGACACTTTGAGATTTTAGTAAATGAGGTTACATGTTCTTTAATCATAATGTAACAATGTAAAATTAAAACATATTCTGTACGTGGTACTTTTTACAGAAGCCAGAGAGAAAGATGAGAAGTCAAAAAAACCAGAGGATGAAGCTGGTTCTGGAACCAAGAATGTGGCATCTAGCTCTCGGGTGAAATCTGCTGACTCCAGTTCAAGGTATTTGTAATGAGATTTAAAGGAAACCTGCACTGTGGCCGTAATTGCTTTGCCTTTACTGACCTCATCTTGAGCCTGGCTGTCGCTGACCTAAAACCAGACTAAAATTTACAGAAGCCAGAAAGCAACAAGTGAAGACAAAAGAGAAACTGTCAATCACAAGAACTAGTTTGCAAACAAAGTGTGGAGGGAGTAGAGCAACATACCAGCATCCAAGCCCGAGATGATTCTCTAAGGTGCTAGTCAGAGGCTTTCAGTTCATGTTCTGCTAATGCTCTCATATTTTTAACTGTACTCCAGGAAAACAGGTAAATACACAGTTAAGATCCATATGTGGGAACTGACTTTCCCCGCTAGTGGATTTGTATTTCTTTACAATCATTCCTGAGATTTATCTCTTTGCCACACAGCACATCAAAATGGGGACTTCAATTTTCTCTACTGAACTTAGGGAATAGAGTTCCATCACCTTCCCACCTCAGCCTGTGATTGGACAATGAAATAGCAGTAGCAGACTGATGAGGGCATCTCTTTCCTCCTCTGTGATTTCCTGTAGAACGCATGTGCTTGCAGCATACCTGATTGGCATTTAGTGATGCCCCTCCGTGTCTGCCATTGCACAGGGGATTACAGATGCGTGATACCAATATTTAAAAAAATACATCTAATGATTTTGATGAATACATAACTGCATTCATTATGTATTTTTTTTTTGTGCTTGCAGTTCTCGTTACAACGAATCTGTCACTTTGCTTATGCAGGGCAAAGTAAAAGGCTTTTTGAGGGTTTATAAAAGTTACAAAGCCACTAATCTGAGAGGAAGCAGCATTGTACTGACCTGGAGGTTGGCCTGTAAGCTAAAACTACCAGCGAGTGTGTGGTGTAGAAGGGTCCCCTCGCTGGTTGCTGTGGTTTCACTCTGTCACTTCTGAGTCCTGCAGAGTCTAAAGGTCAGCAGGAGGAACCACAGCACTCAGCAAGTCCAAGATTAATTAGTAACCGGAAAGATAAGTATACTGCTGCTTTAGTCTCATGTCAGGTGCCTTTCTACCTTTATAACCCCATTACAGAGTCACTTTACATCCCACCTTCCCTGCATTTGCCCACCACTGCCCCAAATAGCCTTTTTTTAAGCTCAGTGTGGATTTGTGTTGAAGCTTATACAGAGCTATGGACGTGCTTGGGGTTGGTGATAAGTTGCCCGAGAACCATTCGCTACCTAGTGGGATGAAGAGAAGAAAGTCACATGCTTCTCATGCTTCTCTAGACCCAGAAGTACCATATATTTCCAGATTCTGTAGCAGATTTGGAAGAGTAGTGTAATGAGGGTAAATATTAGCGGAAGAGGAGGTGGCTGTAAAAGGGAACCTCTTCCTTTCCCTGAAAAGACAAAGTGACAGATTACCTCTAAAGCCTTGGTTTTCAACTGGTGGGTCACAACCCCCGTGTTCAGTGGGTCGCTGCATGCCTTCCGCTTTTCTAGACGGGAGGCTTCTCATCCTCCCCCTAGCGCAGCAATGTCAGTTCTCATGCTGAGCAGCCATTCAGAATATGCTGCCTGGCACTGATTGTCAGCTTGAGGTGGGGTGGGCTGGGGGTATGGCCACAAGGGTGCTCCCATCCATACGTGCATTGCTTACTGCTTCCACGCATGTCCTGTAGAGGTGCCTGGACCAGAGTAATGTCACACCTGCCAGCACCTCTGCAGGGTGCACAAGAGATACAAGCAATGCACATATGGATGTAGCTCCATCACAGCACAGCAGCCCACACCGGGCCCCAGGCTAAGGATCCACTCCAGTCCTAATAAGGTAGGGATTCTGGGTGGATCTTAAAAACAAACAAAAAAAATATATATATATTTTGGTGTGTCTGCCAGTGTTTTTGAGGGCCAGTTCTCACTAGTACAGTGCGTTAATCGAACAGTCCTGTACCATTAATGCACTGTACCATGCAATCACACCTACTATGCATTCTGGTGTTCGAGGTGCATTGCCATTCATTTGATTGGCACCCCAAACGCATCTCCCACCCACAGTTTGATTGCCCGCATTGGAACGCACACTACCGCAATGCCATGAGTTCCAGGATGGTGCGACTTGGGTCATGACTTAATGACCAAGGACAAATGTGGGTCCTGAGGTTACACAGGTTGAGAACCACTGCGCCAAAGGTTTCCTTTAGAGTATTCATGATAAGGGGTCTCAACTACTGCAAGAAGCACAGAGTGACAATGAATGTTCTGCTGAGGGAGGAGTGCGGCGCTGGAGGGGATCAGTTTGGTAGGTGAGTCAGCCATTTTTGTTAAAATGCTTTTATAGTTGAAAGTTCTATGGGTCCCTTTTTTTTATTTTATTTTTTAAACCTGCTTTAACCACTTCCGGGCCGGCCGTAGTAAAAAAACGGCCGGCCAGGAGCTCTCTAGATCTGAGCGGGCGTCTCTAGACGTCCGCTCAGACACGCCCCCTTGCGCGCGCCGCCGGGCGCGCGCGAGCGGGAAATGGCCGCAATTTAAAAACGGGCAGCGATGCCCGTTAATATACATGCGATCCGCCGGCTGTAAAGCCGGCGGATCGCTTGTATTTAGCGACGATCGGTGCGGCCCCCCCTCCCTCTGCTGTCCCCCCCGCCATTGTCCCGCTGATCCCGGGCTCCGCTGTGCCCGGTGCGAGCCCGGGATCAGCATGTCGCCTGTGACACAGGGGATCAGAGAGAGCTCGGTACACGAGCTCCCTCCGGTCCCCTCTCCTCTGAAAGAATGCGGAAGTGTTGTATAATACATCACTTCCGCATTCTTGTGTCACTCTCCAGCTTCAGAAGCTGCAAAGAAGCTGATGGAGCAGATCTCTGCTTCATCAGCTTCTTTTGGGGGGTCCTAGGTGACATTAGGGGTCTTGGAGACCCCTGATGTCTCCATAAAGAGGACCTGTCACATATTTTGCTATCACATAGGGGGGTTTTATTAGCCCCCGTATGTGATAGCGATAAAGTTTAGTGAAAAAAAAAAAGAAAAAAAAATTTAAGTCCCCCCCCCCCCAAAATTTTAAGTTACACATAAAAAATAATTAAAAAAAAAAAAAATTTTTTAAAGTCCCCACCCATACATACACGCATGCAAACATGCGTCGGGGGCGCATACGTGCAAAAAAGACGATTGCGCCCATTACGCCGCACATGTTACATATCGCCGCGAACGTCGCAGTGAGAGCAATAAGTCTAGGGCCATCAATCACTGATAACACTAAACTGATGAGCGGTAAAAACGTTTAAAGTGTCGCCTATGGCCAATTTTGGTTGCCGTCGTTTCCTGCGATATCGCGGGTGCGCGCAATTTTAAAGCTTGACATGTTTGGTGTCTATTTAACCGACGTGACCTGATCTTTTATATTTGACCAAAAAACTGGGTAATAATAAATGTTTCCTAACATAATGTTACAAAAAACTTTTTTTTTTCAAAATTTTCAATAATTTTTCCTAATTATAATAAAAAATAAAACCCGTAGTGGTGATTAAATACCACCAAAAGAAAGCTCTATCTGTCCCCAAAAAATGGTATAAAATTCATTTCAGTACAGCGTTGCATGACGGAATAAACGTCAGTCAAAGTATCGCAGCGTTGAATACTGAAAAATGGCCTGGCCAGGAAGGGGGTCTAAACACCTGGTCTTGAAGTGGTTAAGGATCTATTAATGGTTACATAGCTTTAGACCCATAGCTTTTGACTTTATAGAAAACTTTCTTTTTCAGTACCAGGGAGGCCAATTACACATATAAGGGGATTGTGTGTTGTTTCTACTTGCGTTGTATGGCTTTTATAGTTTCTTGACTTTGATAATATCCTGTATAAATAAGTCATTGTATATCTTACTAATCCCGTGGATGGTGCTTACTTACAACAGAACTTTCCCCTTTATTTTCAAATTGCAATACAGGTCCTGCTTTGACCGTGTGTTTATTGTTAATCTTGTTTTTGGAGTTGCTGGCTGTGATAATTGATAAAAGTATATTCATTATAAAATGTATGTATGTTTCATTGTAGTGACTCGGAGGACAACTCAGAGGATGAGGTCATTGGACCTCCTGTGCCCCCCAGAGCTTCTCAAGACTCAGATGATGAAATGATTGGTCCTCCGCTTCCTCCAGACTTCAAAGACAGTGACGAGGATGATGATGATGAGGATGATGACGACGATGATGATGATGTAAGTTTAAATTATTAATATTTTTGATTCTGTCCATGACCAGAAGTTTTTTTTCCCTCTTATTTATAAAGGGATGTCATAACCTTGGATGCTATATACCCTGCCTATAGGAGGCTGAACATTATCAATGGATTCTCCTCCCCTAAGGACTATACCCATGTGCTTGGCCTCATTGCTTAGTATGTGCAGAATGTTTGTTGCACAATACCTGTGTTACATAATTGCTTTAGAGATTATTAGGGTAACCAGACAGGCTGTGCTATCGGGGCTGTGTAAGTCTCAGGAATGGATGCACAGCAAAGCAAACGCTCACATGTGTATCTCGGTGGTGTATTTAGGGGTTTGCCTGGAGTTCAACTTTAAAAGGGTTTAAACAAGTGAGAGAGACGGAGAGAACAAGAGAGAGCATGCATGCTAACTTGGTAGGGAACACGTAATCATTGTGCTGTACTACTAGGCTTAAAGGAGAACTATGAGGTGAGTGATTTCCACTTATCCTCATAGTTAGAGCCGACCTGTGGCAAAGAAGCTGTTGATCAGGAAGTGAGCGAACGCATACCGTCGCTTGCTCACTTTCCGATCATCTCCCTGTAGTGAGCGGTGACTGTCAGTCACCGCTCCCCGCAGGGATTCCCTCTCCCCTTTCTGATCCTCCAGCGCTGAGTGGAGGAACGGACGGGGAGGGGGCGGGCACTGCTGGCTCTGCCTCTTGATAGGCAGAGCCAGCTGTCACTCAAGCAGCTGAGTGGTTTTTAACAGTCTTGCGTGATCCGTCCCGGCTGCCGCGCTCTCAGTATATCGCGAGCAATAGCCCGCTATATGCTGAGATTTGGATCACGGGAGGACGCTAGTATATGTCCTCCCGTGACCCTAAAGAGAACTATGGGGAAAACACTTACCCCATAGTTCTCTTTTAAGGCACAGCTGGGGCAAGTAGGAAACATATAACCATCAATATTCATATGTCATTACCAATTATACCCATAAGCAGAGTTTCTAAAATAATAACACAGATATATGAAGATTGGCGGTTTGAAGCTGGTCACATTCATATATGCTGTGTGTAAATACAAGACTGAATTCTTTTTTTTATATTGAACTAAATTAATGCATCTCTTATTTATTGAATCATGTTATGCCAAAGTAAGAATACTGCCTTCTTTCCAATGCTTGTGATCATTACCTTATCTTACTGCACTAAAAGTGCTGAGGGTTAGCAAGGGCTCCAAGGAGGTCTTGTCTTATCCCCTGTCTTTTGTCAGTGTTTTACTTTGTGTACATTTATGTACCAACATTTTCATTAGTGTCTGGTATAGCCTGTAGGTGGCGCTGTATTCATCTGCTGTATTTAAAAGAAACCAGCCCTGTCCATACACTAGCATAAAAATAATGGAAAATGTTTGTGATGTGATTAGGACTAGTCCTACATTGTTTTAGTTCCTTGAGAAAATGAATATACAAGGGCATCTGTGTTATTCTGTAGACTTGTTAGATATGTTGGAGGATGTACAGTTAGGTGTAGCAGATTAATTTGCAAATGGTCAAATATATCAAAAGATGCCATAGCATCATCCTTTGTGAATTGTCTGATGTGAAGATCTTGTGCACTCTATTCCCTGATTATGAAACTATCGCACACTTTCCTATCACATGCATCACTGGTTTTTGGTGAAAGAGACACGAAGCAAGCCAACAGTAAGACGATAACAGAAGAGCTGTGTACACAGATTTCAGACTCGGAAGTATTTTGAATGCAAGTGTCTCTGAGTATATTTGACTTGCTTTCAATTACCTTTTACTGTAAGTTACTTTGAGCTAATTCAGATTGGCTTTTGAGCTGCTTTTGCATTCATATTGACTTGGAGGGGGAAGAAAAGCAGCACTGACGCAAACAACTGCCTGCGTATACAAGTACCTATTACGCAATGTGAATAGGTACTAGACTTGTTTCTGTGGCCTGAGCTAGTATTTGTTTTTGTATGTCTTTTGGGAAGCTGTGTGAGAAAATACTGCAAGCTTTTTAAATAAAGATAGCAAGCACTACCGCATACAATTTATTGGCTTTTCTATTCCTTTGACTCTCTGCTGACATTATTGGAGTTCATATTCATAATTGTATCATGTGGGTTTTATAATAACAAGAATCCAAAGACTAACCTGTGATTTTTCTGGCATTTACTTTTTAATTTTAATTTTTCTTCCATCAAGATTCTTCCCTGCATAGATGCTGGTCATCCAATATGATTGTTTTCAGCCTGGCTGGACATTTCAGGGTGACCCTGGAAGTGACTCTCGGGAACTGGGCTCCACAATGGTGCTTTCCAGAACAGTTCTGGTTAGGGCTAGAGCTGGGTGCCAAAATCTCCCTTTTTTCCTGCTGGTTTTACAGTAGAAGGGGTTAACGATGTAGGATAGAGCATTAACGTTGTGGGACAAAGCGCTGTTGTACACACAAGCACACTCCGTACTCACTTTCTTTCCACACAGCGCCGAGAAAGCATCTCCCCGCTGCTGCTGCTTCAAAGGGCCACAGGGAATTTCAATATTTGATCTATTCCCACTGACTGCTTACAGTGATTGTTGGTCACCTTCAGCTGCCTGACCCTCTAGTCATCAAGCTTTCACCTGCTACTAGCTGTCCAGGTTTCCCGAGTACATGTGGCCTTTTGCCCTGAGCCTGTATGTTACCACACTACGGCTGCAACATGATTCTGATTCTAACAGTGTCATAGGCAACCTGCACTCCATACAGGGTTGCGACCTTCTTTTACAAATGGTGGTGCTCGCAGAGATTTCAGGGATGACACAGTGCAGAACTTCAAAAGGAAGAGAGGTTAATCACCAGCACACAATTTGTATCCACTGAATATTCTTTACGTTTATTCAAGCATCACATAATGTCACAAAAAACAACATTTTGGGGCCACGCAGATTCCCTTCATCAGGGTGACATAGTGACTCTGCATGGCCCCGAAACGTTGTTTTTTGTGACATTACTTGACGCTTGAATAAACGTGAACAATATTCAGTGAGTACTACGTGTGTGCTGGTGATTAACCTCTCTTCACTTTGATTCTGATTCTAGACATAAGGGTGGGCTGTGCCTTTTTATAAGAAGCATTTAATCCACATGACCTTAAGAGACAGTGGGGCTGATTTACGAAGCCCAACACGCACACGCGCAGGCTACTGGACCGACTCTGGATGCTATCATTAGAGGATACTACTTGGAGCAAAAAGACTCATCAACCTCAGTGGAAGAAGCCTAAAGAGCAGACTGCTAAGTCTTCCTCATTGGTTCCTGCCAAGAAGCATTTTTTTTCAGCCTGCCCACAGCTTCCACATTCAGACCAAGGTCTGGCACTCCAAAGCTGTCAAATCCACTGACGAGCTGTCCTTGACATTAAAGTCAACCTCTACTTTCCAGAGTGGGAGGACATCTGTTGACCTTTGCATCTGCTTATATGTCTTGCATCCCCAATACTGGTTACAAGAAATGGCGTTCCGGGGTTACAAGCTTAAGTTTTGTGCCCTGCCCCTTTTCGGTATATAACCTCAAACTTCAATGTGTTCCCTCAGCTACTTGCGGATCTCCATCAGGCACTTGTGGACCAAGGTGTCATAGCCTTAGTCCCTGCTGCAGCATAGATTCAGAGGTTTTCATTCAAATTGTTCCCAAATCCCAAAGGAGACATTCGTCCAATCTTGGACCTGAAAGGCATGAATTTTTATATTAGGCCCCAAAACTTCTGGATGAAATAGACCAGATCTGTCATTGCTTTCCTTCACTAGGGGGACGTCCTGGCTGCAGTGGACATAAAAGATGTTTGGATACATTTGCCCAGCATCTTTCAAGTGCACCAACACTTTCTGCATTTTGTTGTAGGGACCAGTTTATTCCGTGGCCCATCCATTCTGCCTGTCTTCCTTGGGTGTTCACCAAGGTTCTGGCACTGCTGTGCTCTTGGGGTATTCCGACTCTGGGATACTTGAAAGACCCCCTGCTGTTGATGAGGGCTCTGGAGGACAATGTGTGTCAAACTTTTCAGAGCATCGGGTGGATCCTGAACCATCAAAAATTGTTGCTTGTTCAGATTCATCGCTTGGAATATTTGGGGCTGGTGGACACGTCCCAGGCCAGAGAGCTCTTCCCAAAGAGAAAGTTCAAACTCTCAGGTCTCAAGACCTGGGTTCTTCAATCCAGAACCTGTCTGGCCCTCCACCTCTCCATGAGGGTCTGCTGCTAGTCTCCTTCGAGGCTTTTTTTTTTCTGCCCAGTTCGACTCCAGCCATTTGCAACACAACATCCTGTCATCATGGGATAAGGTGGTCCTGTGTCTGAAAGACTCCATCAAAGGTAGCTTGAAATATTCGCTGTGTGGGTCTAAAAAGTGTTTTAAGACCTATCTCTTGGTCAAATTTTAGGGTGAGCGTCTTACTTTGAGGGGGCACATGGAAGTGCAAGTCCTTGGAGTGGAATACGATTCGGTCTGCAGATTCAAGATTGGATGTTTTCACGTTTCTTTTTGCACTTGTTTATGTTTTTATAGACTATACAATATTGGATATTCTTTTGCACCAGTGTGTATTTCCACATTGATACGGAACACCTTTTTTCACTGACTGAATACTAGTGTGTGTGTGTGTGTGTCGTAATATTTGGATTCTTATATTTTAGTGACATTTCTCACATTTGTTGTGGATATCACTTGGGAATATATTCATGTGTGACATAATATAAGCACACTTCATAGAATCCCATCACACTCCTGACCCGATAACACCCAAAACATCAGGTGGGTGCTGTAATGACTTCGGGTGCAACTGCAAATTAAGTACAAATCCAAAGGTAGTCACCAGCACACCAAAGCATATTCTGTCAATACTTCTATAGTCAATAAAGAAGAAATGACAGAATATGCTTTGGTGTGCTGGTGACTACTTTTGGATTTGTACATATTATAACCACGGCACATACACTATATTGCCAAAAGTATTGG